GCGAGCGCCATCGAGTGCCACTCGCCCTACACGAGCCCAGGGGCGCATTGGGGCTCTCCCGGCGCCTCGCCTTACCTCAAGCAGCCTGCCGCTCTGACGCCCAGCAGCAACCCCGCGGCCTCCGCAGGCTTGCACTCCAGCATGTCCTCCTACTCGCTGGAGCAGAGCTACCTGCACCAGAACGCCCGCGAAGAGCTGTCAGGTAATGGATCGCGCCCGCTGGAGGCGTCGCCTCTAGGCCTCCAGGCTCCAAGGCTACTGCAACTTGCTGCGGATCGCGGCAGCCTAGGGGGTCTGAAGGCGCTGGGAGAAGCTGATGCTGGGGGAAGCTGGCACTTTATTCATGGAGGGAAGAGGATTCGGTTCATACCGTCCTCCCCCATACCCTTAGCCCAGAGGTGGGCCTCTCGAATTTACATTCCTAGGAGGATGGTTCGAAGTCGCCAGCCTAGGGTCTCTGGTGACCTTATGGACTGCAGGTCTCAAGTCTCAGGCCTGACTTAGCTTAGAGAGAAAGCATGTGGTTTTGGGGGACTTTGGCCAAGGAGCTGTAGCTGCTTCCTCTTGTCATTTGTAAATTTTGTTTGGTTGTAATTTGCCCAAAAGTAAATATCAGAAGGACAGTTCTGTATTCTGAGGGTGTAGGTTGGGAGGAGCTGCACCTGAGCAGGTGTTGAGAGGAAGAGAAGGACGGAGAGGAAAGCAGTGGGGTGCCAGGATCTTTCACAGGCTGTTAAGTCTTCTGCCTCCCCACACAGATTGAATCGCTTGACCCACCTTGGTGACACTTAAGTCTGTCTTAGGTCAGCAGGACCTGAGGTCCACATTATGACTCCCTTGAGAAATGCCTGCCTCTTGGACAACACTTGTGTTGCTGGTGTAAATTGTGTTGGTCAAGGAATATGAAAATTTATTGACTTGCCAAAATGGTCAGTGGGAGGGGACAGATAGGATGGAGAAGAACTTTGAATATTTAGCCAGGTTTATCAAGAAAGTGGAGATAAACTCTCTTATATTATATTAACCTCCTCTGGGGCACCCTGACTGCAGATTAAAATCCGGCTGGGCTGCCCATCAACTAGTGCTCTGGCTTACATTTGCCTCCCCACCCCCAATTAGCAAATGGGAGGAAGGATAATGCAGACATTATATGTTCGTGAATCGTGTGCCCTAAGAGCATGAGGGGAGAAGGGAAGCCCAGAAATGGGCAAAACATGTTGGTTCCCTGAATGGTGAAATTTCCCAAATAGGCCTTTTAAATGCGGGTCTCAGAGGTTAACTAAACAAAGACAGTCTCGGCAGGACCACACCGGAGAGGATTTTAGCCTGACTTAACCCACTGAAAGCAGAGTCTTGTTCAATTTTATGGGAATTTCTGCAAGTAACCAATACAGACAACCCTCCGCTCTTATTTTTTTAATCCCCGCGGACTGGCTGTCAATCACCGCCCACCCCAGGCGGAGCCCGGTTGTCCACTGGAGTCCTGGCAGGGCCTGCCCAACGTGAACTCAGTCGCTGAGGCTTCGCAGCCGCCGTGAAGAAGTACCTTAAAAATCAAAAACAAGAAAACACTCAGGAAAGAGACTTCTGATTCTTCTGAGTGGCCGTCCTCTCCCCACCCCACACACAGGGGGCACGCAGATGCCCCCAAAAATGCGGGGGCCGGGAAACACAACTCTTTGTCTTGGAGAGAACGGAGCAAGCGGGCCTCGCCTCCCAGGGAGCCTCGAATGACCTCTGGAAATGCCAGGGAGGCCATGGCTCGGCCCAAGCCAGAACGGGACGCTCTGCGCCTTCCTCCCCGGCCCTCTGGCTCCGGTACCTCTGAACTATTACCCGCTGCCCCAATGCTTGTTGGCATCTCGCAGGCGGCGGTGCGCGTCGGCCTTCGGGTTGGGAATGTGCCGCCTTCCCGGCCGGGGCCTACTGAGAGTCTGAAGCCCAAGCCCAGCGAGAAGCAGCGGGGAGGTCAAGAAGGGCTGAGGCTGTGGGACCCAGGCGCACCCCAACCCCAGCGATCGCGCGCGCGCGCGCACACACACACACACACACACACACACACACAGCACACCCACGCGGGGCGCGCCTTCCCACTCGGGATAGGGCGGCCAAGGTCCGGGTGGTGCTCAGAGAGGCTCTGCACCCTTCGGTAAATCCTTTGAGCCTTTCAGAAAGGAGCCAGGGCTTTTATCATACTTCCCGTCACCTGAAAGCGCTGGCCGCGGTCTTTCGTGGAGGTGTGAGCGCTCGCTCAGGGGTCCAGCCTGGGCGATTGCGCTCTGGCGCTGCTCCGTGCTCTAACTTGCTGGGAGAGCGCACCTGTGTGCAGAGCCACGCGCGCACATCGGGGACGCGTGGTTGCTGCTTTGAGAGCACTACAGCGCACGTTTGGCAACATTAGGTGTCACCCGGCAATAGCGTAGGCTGAGTGGCCAGCTATCTAGCAACCTGACTTCTCGATAGAGCTGGGATGCAGCCAGGCCCAGGCGATGCGAGCAGGGCACACGCGCAGCGGGCGACAGTTCTGATTTTCACTCACTCAAAAACGGAATCAGGTCTGGCACCAATGGGCACCTTATGGTTCCCACACCGCACGGGTTACTAGAAAGACTCAGGCCAACAGGCTTAACCCAACCTGGCCCGGAGACAGGCCCTGTACGGGAGAAGTCCAGGTCCCAGCTCGAGACAGACACCCCTGGCCCATTGCGCCCAGGGCTCGCACACAAGGAGAAAGCAAAAGCAAAGGGCAGTGGCTGGTTGGCGCCCAGTGGCTCCGGTTCTTGGACGAGGAGCAGCCCCGGGGAAGAGGAGTGCGGGCCTTCTCCATCCTCTCTGAGGGCCTCCCTGCACTGCCAGACGCCTCCGTGGGTAGCAGGATCTCCAGCTGAACTCTTGTGGGAGGGTTTTCTCTGCTCCCTGGAGTGTTGGCTTTCTAGAGGAAGTGTAAGGCGTTCAGGACCTACGAAGACGAAGATGTATGCTTTCTTTCCCCAGCCTTTCTCTAGTGCCGGGGTTGTTTTCTGTCCCTCCTTAAGGCACAGGAAATATCCCTGCTGTGGCCTGCTTTTCTGACCCGGCCAGTTAGTTGGGAAACAAAATGTGAGGGCGACACTAGTGTTTCGTGTGGGTGTTTGGGTTCTGGAAGAAGCCCTGTGCGCAGAGACCTGGAACAAGAGACTGGGTCAGATTGTCCCAGTGTCCCTGCTCCTCTGTGAGCACTAATAGGGGAATTTAGGCACAGAACCGGGGTAGCCCTGGCCGGTGTGGCTCAGTTGTTTAGAGCACCCTCCCATGCACTGAAAGGTTGCCAGGCACATACGGAGCTGCCGCTTGCAGTTGGACGCCCATACGGAGGCAACTGATGGATAGAGATGCCTTTCTCTCTCTCTCTCTCTCTCTCTCTCTCTCTCTCTCTCTTATCCCCTCTCTCTAAAATCAGTAAAACATATCATCAGATGAGGATTTTTTTTTAAAAAAAGAGCCTGTTTTAGAGGGGGAACAGGCACTCTGTGGCTCTGTGTTTGTGGGTATATCAAAACAAAATTTAATGATTCCAGAATTATCCTATGACCTATCATTTAAAACTTTGAGAAACTGCCAGAGCTAGGTTTCCTCTACCAGTTTTATAGCAATAGACCTTAATAAGATTCCAATTAAGATACCAATTTAGTTAAAATTTGAAAGTTAACAGGCTCCATCCTCACCTGGGCAAATTTGTTTCTGAAAAGAGTTTTTATTTTCTTCCTTCTTTCAGTGGGACTGCCTCGGTACCAGCATCACTCTACCCCAGTGTGTGACAGAAAAGATTTCGTCCTCAACTTCAACGGCATTTCTTCTTTCCATCCCTCTGCTAGTGGGCCGTACTATCACCACCACCATCACCAGAGCGTCTGTCAGGATATTAAGCCCTGTGTCATGTGAATGGAGGGAGGCAGGCCATGCCAAGGCCACTTTCTCCTTGGGGGGGGGGGGTGAACTGAGATGGACTCACATAAAGTGCACCCCACAGCTGTAAGTAGCACACCGTTCACTTAGAATCCCCAGGCCTGTGTATTCACTGACACTTATCTACCATTGGTAGAAGGACAAGCCCTGGCCTGGTAATGTCCTAAATGTGTGCAGGCTCCACTGAGGGGAAGAGCTGAGAGCTCAACTTCTTAGCGAAGATGGTAAAAAGTTACCACATGAAAAACGTAAGCATGTAACTCTGGGATCTTCATTGCCTTCAGTAATCAGGGTCTGAAAAATGCAGACAAGTTGTCTGTGTGTTTTTCTTTGTCTATAAAAATGTATGTGCTTTTCAAAAAGGCAGTGCTAAACGCAAGATTTCAAGAAAGCTGCATCTCATTGCCTACCTAAGGAAGGAGTTCTGTTTCGCCAAACACTACCTTTGGATATAAATGCCAAAGAACAGTATTAAGAAAGTATTTAGAAACAATGTGTCTAGTTTAAGAACACGGTTTTCAGTATTGTGACAATACAACGTTTTTTACAAGGTTATTTTCTACCACGGTATTTTAAAGATATTTTTATCTCATGTATACTCACACTTGTATTTTAAAAGGAGGATATATTTGCACTTATGTATACTTTTACAGTTTGCCAAACTATTTTGATGTAAAATGTTTTCAATAAAATGTATGTAACAAATAGTCATTTTAGGGAACTATTTCCTCCGAGGCATCCTGAAATCACCAGGTTGTCTCCACCAGCCAGCAATGCAACTCTACACTTCTCCCCCCAAGTTGTGTAATTGACATGGTGTGGGGTCTGCGCCTTGAGTAACACAGGCCAGATTCTGATTGTGGGTCTTCTCAGAAGAGAAAGAGAAGAAGGAACATTTTCTGTTCTTTCTTTCTTTCCTTCACCCTCGCTCTTTCTGACTAAACAAAAACCAGAAGTTGAAAGGAACTTAAAAGAAAACCAGGCAAGATAATGAGAGGCAAGAGTTTGTTGGATTTGAAGCAATGAAGTGCCCTTTTTGTTCTCTTTCCTGTGCTCAGGGAGAGTTTGCCTTTTGCTCTTTCCTCTTACCTACCAGCATGGAGTGACAGGCCAGGCTGAGCAGCCAACAAGGATTAGGTGCCAAAAAACACGACCCTTTGCAAGTCAAAGGTTGGAGTGGATGCGGATCCCATTTTGTTAGCAGTTGGTGGTCAGATCCTGAAGAGTCCAGAGGGAGAAGGCAGTGGGCAGAACCCAGGATCCTGGTTTCTTTTATTTCCTTGGAGAGGAACAGAACCTGGCCCTCACAAGATGTTCTGTACCAGCTCTCTGTCTCCACCCTCCAATTCAGAGCCTTGCTCACCCTGCTTAGCTTTGGCACCCACTAACCTATACACTTCTCTCCTTTGTGCCCTATACTCCCTCCTTCCTTTTCAGGAGGGATTTGATGTTTTCCCTTGGGGATCCCCTCACAGCCCTTGTTACTTTCTTACTCAGCCTCCCAATGCTAGCCACACGGCTGGTAAAGCTATGAATGACAAAGAGAGAAAACGGGCCCACTCAGCAGGAGGACTTGTTCTTGCCCAGCCCACCTCATCTGGTCTGACCAGCCCTTCAAACTCCTGGCGGTGGCAAGGGTAGATCTGAGAAGGGTAGAGATTCTCTCCCACAGTCACGCTTTGGGTTTCCTCTCCTACTCGGGGCTGGGTTTTTGTTTTGTTTTTGCTTTCGTTTTTGAAAACTCTCCTTTGTCCCTGGTTCTCTAAAAGGTCTTTCTCCCAAACAATTACCAGGCATTTAATACCACTCAGTAGATATCTGCACACAGGTTTTTGTATTCCAAGTGAATTTCAGGCCAAGGAGTCTCCCTAGTCAAACTCTTGTCTTAAAAAGTCTTAACTATCTTCCTAATCCTTATGCTTTCTTTCTGTATTTCACAAAATTAAGCAGTGATTTAAGCTTTTTTGTGTGTCTCCATTATCATATTTGCAGTTAAATAGGGCTTTTTTTTTTATACTGAGCTACTCAGGGCCTGCTATAAATTATGAAGTCAGTTTCAGAGTTTGCTCCGACCACAGTGCTGTGTTTACATTCCTTCCGAGGCTGCCGGCATGGTCGTAATTTATATCCTAAACACTTGAACGTAACTTGTTTATACAGAGAATGACAGGACCTCAAAGACAAAAACGCTGCGTCTCTCAGAGTGACCGCATTGGAAAGGCCAGCGCGCCCCCTAGTGGCGTGAAGAGACACACAGCTCCTTTCCCCCTCTTTCCCTGCTTCAGGTTTTTTTCAAGATGCCCCAGACCCATTTTGTGGTGCTTTTCCCATATCCCTATGATGTGGGGATGTTGATCCTATTTACAGATCTGCACTAGGTCGTGGCTATCAGGGGTTTCAGTTTATTTCATACGGTTTTCCCAACATCACATATAAGACCTTTGCATCTGACATCGCAGGCATAAAGGCGGTCTTCACTCTGAAGCAGGGGTTCTTAAACGGGATGTGCATCAGAATCACTTGCAGGGCTTGTTAAACACAGGATGCCGGGCCCACCCCTGTTTCCGATTCAGTCTGTATAGGACAGAGCTCGCGTTAGTATTCCTAATAAGCTCCTAGGGGACGCTGATGGTGGTCCAGGGACCACACTTTGAAAACCACAGGTCTAGAAAGGCAGTTTGAATTAAAAATATTTCCAGGTTCAAATGGGTGGGTGTTAAGGCTTATCTATTAATTAGTTAGGCAAAGATCTAAAAAGGTTTTTCTAAAATAGCTTACCCACCCAAATATCCCTGTGATTGATTACTGGCCCCTGGGGAAAAGCAAGGCCTAATTTTGAACCCTGCACCAGAAAACAGAACCTCTCTGTTTTTATTCAAATCAATGAAGCCTCTTATTTTATTCTAGTAAACTCTGCAAAGAAAAGTCAGATGGGCTCTAGCTGGTTTGGCTCATTGGTTAGAGCGTGGGCCTTTGGACTGAAGGGTTTCAGGTTCGATTCCTGTCAAGGGCAGGTACCTCAGTTGCAGGCTCCATCCCTTGCCCTGGGTGCCTGCAGGAGGCAACCCGTCGATGTGTCTCTCTCACATCCATGTTTCTCCCTCTCTGTTTCTCCCCCTCAGTTCCACTCTCTCTAAAAATCAATGGAAAAAATATCATTGGGTGAGGATTAAAAAACAAAAGGAAATAAAAGTCAGGTGGAATCATTGAAGTCTGCCTGCCTCAGTTGAGCAGTAAGTCAAGGTACTTAGACCCAGCAATGTCAGAATCCTCCAGACAAAGGAGGTGGTGATTACAGCAGGTGGGAAAAGAAATTCCTTCATTGGTTATAAAATCTTTTGAGGGTAGAACAGAAAGAAGCCAAAGAAAGGGGGCTGCAGTCTCACAGTCTCAGTGTATACAAATAATGATCCTTAGATACAAAAAGGTAAGGCAGAATCATGGTGGGTGGGGGAGAAAAGAGAGAAACAGAGGGACAGATACGGATGGGGCGGGGGCAGAAGGAGGAAGGAGGGAGAGAGAAGGACAGGTGAACAAAGAAAGATAAAGAGGAGGGAGGGAGAGAGGAACTGGGGGAGAAAGGGAAGGAGGAATGGAAGAAGAGAGAGGAGAGAGGTAGGAAGAGAAGGGGAGGGAGTAAGAGACACAGGGAGACAGAGAGAGATCTAGAGGGGAGGAATCCAAAAAGTATCTCAAGAGTTACTGTCCCAAAGTTTGCAAAGCAGCCTTTGAAGCTGGGCTGCTGTCCTCTGAGGCCACAGTTATCTCTCAGAGTCTCCAATGCCAGGCACTGGTTGAAAGGCGCACGTACTTTTGTTTTACTTGGCTTCTGCTTGGATTCTGGGGAAGTAAGAGAATTCTCTAGCTGTGCATGCTCAAAGTTTCTGAACTGCTGCAGCAACTTCTAGAAAATTCAGGAAGAATAAGAGTTAACATTTTAGAAAGTGGAAGTCTGATTTTGGGGAAAAATCTTCAGGCCCATAGTATATGCTACTGTGCTGTATAAATAGAATTAGTACTTTCTTCCTGTAAGACAAATTCTTTTCTTTATTCATTTATATCTAATTACTTTGTATCAAGGTGATTAATTCAAAACAGGCACCAACTTATTTAGAATGGAAATATATTTTAATATATTTTATCGGAACGGAAATACATTTTACCAAACCTGCTTCTATGAAACACTATCTGAGCAGGAAAAACACTACAGACATAGACACTGGGCCAGGGACAGCCACAGCATAGTTGTCAAGATTCATCTGGGAAAAAGAAAAGTCCTGGAAGTCCTTTTGGAGTTCAGAGCGCCCTGAGTCCACAGCAATCCGACTAATAAATATTCAGCTTCCAGTTCCCAGGGGACCTGTCCATCCCAGGCCTGAGTCACCAGTCCTCTTGGCATAAGTTTGTGCAAGAGACCAGAGGATGTCTGAGGAGCAGCTGGGAGGCCAGTGCCCTCAACAGTGTTCCTTCCGGAAGGGCTCCATCCTGCCCTTGCAGCCTGGGAGCGGCTGTCTCACAGATAAGAAGACACCCAAGGGGCCTTGGCCAGAGCCCAGCAGGGACTTCACTCCCCAGAAAGTGCACGCCACCTCCCAGGACTTTGAATTTGACTGAGTGTGAGCCCCAGGACATGTGGAATGGAAGACCTTTTCCTCTCTCCCCTGATAATCACTAGGGTACCCTTTCATCTCTTGCTCCCCAAAGCAAGCCCTCATCTACAGAGAAAGTTTAGTTTATCTCCCACTCCACCCTCTTATTTATACCCCCACCCTGCAGTCACTGGGGTCTCTAGCCACTGTTATTTGCACTTTATCCAGGACCTCCCCACTCCCATTACTTAAGCCCTTCCCAAGTGTCCCTCCCATGGCCTGTGAAGCCATTATTGTCACGCTTACATTGCTTCCTCATGGAGGAGATGGAGGTGAGGCCCAGGGAAAGCCCCGGCAGAGGCCTGGTGAGGCAGTGGTGCATGTCCCCTTGCTTGAGTGGCCTGGAAGCTAGGTTTTGTTTCCTTCAGCTAGAAAGACTCCAGAGCCGGCATGCGGGGAAGCCCCAGCTGCAGCCAGCCTGCGCTCTTCTGGGCAAAGCCTCTGAGGTGGCTCCCCAGTCCCCTGTGGGAGGCCATGTTGTTCCTGAAACTGATCAGACAACGCCCTGCACCCAGGATCACACCTCCTGGAGAGAAGTAAGATGGGGGGGGGGGGGCTGTTTCCCTTTGGAGCTGGGGAAGACTGCGTGGTTCCCATAGTATTACGAACATTGAGAAGCAGCTGTGTGTGGTTCTGTAGCATCAGGCACTCTGCTAGCTTGCACACAAGATCTGTCAGTTCTTCAAATAGTCTTATAAGGTTCACAGTGCTAACTCCACTTCCTAGATGAGCAAACTTGTTCACCCCTACACAGCCAATAACAGAGAGGGTCGAAATCCTAACCCGAACCCATCGGACTTCACACATCTGAATGGAGTGGTCACCAGAGGATGGGGTGGCAACTGAAGTGGGAAAGGCTTTGCTGAAAGGGTAGGCATGCCATGCCCAACGTGCCAGGGCGTCCATGCTATCCACCCTGGCGATGCATGTGATGCACACAGCATGTGTGAGGGCATCCATCCAGGGGCCCATAAATCACCCAAGGCCCAGTCTCCACCACTGAAACCTCCCTGCAGGCCTGGAGGAGACAAGGTCTGCAGGCGTCTGGAGAGGGGC